ACTCAAAGAGTTTGAAATGTTTATACACTTGCTAATCATGTCGAGACTCGACTACTGCAACTCTCTATATCGTGGACTGGAGCAGTCGTCAATTCACCGCTTGCAGGTGGCTCAGAATGCGGCAGCTTGCTTGCTGACAGGTAGGAGACGCAGGGATCACATAACTCCGGTCTTACAAGCTCTTCACTGGCTCCCGATCACTTACAGGATTCAATTTTAAATGCTACTGCTCTGTTTTAAGGCACAACACAATTTGGCCCCTCCTTATCTGCCGGAACTTTTAAACACTCATGTCCCCAAACGAAACCTCTGACCATCCTCTCTACATCTACTCTCTGTTCCCAAGCCTAGGCTGAAGTCCAAAGGTGACAGAGCTTTTTCTGTGGCCGCTCCTAAGCTCTGGAACAGCCTTCCCCTACAGATTAGGTCTGCTAACAGCCTTTCTACTTTTAAGTCTCTTTTAAAAACCTACCTTTTTACCCTTGCTTTAAAAAAAACGGATTTCTTCGTTCATCTGTTTTACCTAGGGTCTACTGGATGTTTCTCAGTGTTTTATCATTTTATTTTTTACTGCTTGTCTGTGTACAGCACTTTGTGCAATCTCTGATTGTTGGAAATGTGCTATATAAATAAACTTGACATTGACATGTTCAAACATAAGGATGCCCATCGGTATACCTGGTTCCAGGGCAGCCTAGGTTACAGGTCAGTGTTGCGACCCCTGAGTTCCCGAGTTCAGTTTATCATGGTTCAGGACCTTGGACAGCACCCTCCAACCCCTTACCCTCTGCATGGCCCAAAGGATCAGCACCATGGAGAGAGACACGCTGAGGCTCACACCTGCCTGCAGACACCAGCTGCATCGGATCAATAATCAGCCCTCAGTCGTCTACAAACAGGACCTGCACCAGAGACAGAGATTTTTTGGGATTAGGAATAAAAACAGGACCTCTGCCATTTTTAGTTGAGTTTACCTAGGCCAGGGTGTAACAGTCAATGAGTCATCACAACATGCCCTATAGGTTATAAATTGTAAGTCGCTTTGGATAAAAGCGTCTGCCAAATAAATAAACATAAATGACTGACGTTGTAGTTGCATCATCTGACCTGAGACAGTATGTTTTGGACACTCCAGGAAAGAGCAGATAGGATTTGCAGCCAGGGGAGACAAAGTTCCAATGTAACCCCCCCCCCCCCCAATCATTTTGCTTTGATTTATAAAAAGCAGTCGCTTTCTAATTGCCATTAGAGATATTTACATTTCTGATATTCACAGTTTTCTCAAGAGGATTTCAAGACCCCACACCTAGTACGTACATTTTATTTATATAGCACTTATCACATAGAAGCACAAAGTGCTTCACATAGATCAAAACAAAATTAAACAAAGTCATAAAATCATAATGATCTAAAAACAAATAGATTCACATCAGAACTTACAAACTTAAATGGTTGTGAGTCCAATTGGGGTCCCACCCCCAACTTTGAGAACTACTAAATTAGAGTGCTTTGCTTACCCATTCACAATGTGTGTGTGTGTGTGTGTGTGTGTGTGTGTGTGTGTGTGTGTGTGTGTGTGTGTGTGTGTGTGTGTGTGTGTGTGTGTGTGTGTGTGTGTGTGTGTGTGTGTGTGTGCGTGCGTGTGTGTTTCACACAAAATGTTTCTGATCATGAAACACATTTAACTGTTAGTCAAAGATAACACAAGTAAACAAAATGTAGTGTTGAAATGATGTTTTTTATTATTTAGGGAGAGAACTAAATCCAAACCTACATTGCCCTGTGTGAATAAGTAATTGCCCCCTGAACCTAATAACTGGTTGGGCCTCCCTTAGCAGCGATAACTGCAATCAAGCGTTTGCGATAACTTGCTACGAGTCTTTTACAGCGCTCTGGAGGAATTTTGGTCCACTCATCTTTGCAGAATTGTTGTAATTCAGCTTTATTTCAGGGTTTTCTAGCATGAACCGCCTTTTTAAGGTCATGCCGTAACATCTCAACAGGATTCAGGTCAGGACTTTGACTAGGCCACTCCAAAGTCTTCATTTTGTTGTTCTTCAGCCATTCAGAGGTGGACTTGCTGGTGTGTTTTGGGTCGTTGTCCTGCTGCAGCACCCAAGATGGCTTCAGCTTTAGTTGACGAACAGATGGCCGGACGTTCTCCTTCAGGATGTTTTGGTAGACGGTAGAATTCATGGTTCCATTTATCACAGCAAGCCTTCCAGCTCCTGAAGCAGCAAAACAACCCCAGACCATCACACTACCACCACCATGTTTTACTGTTGGTATGATGTTCTTTGTCTGAAATGCTGTGTTACTTCTACGCCAGATGTAACGGGACATTTGTCTTCCAAAAAGTTCAACCTTTGTCTCATCAGTCCACAAGGTATTTTCCCACAAGTCTTGGCAATCATTGAGATGTTTCTCAGCAAAATTGAGACGAGCCCTAATGTTCTCTTTGCGTAACAGTGTTTTGCATCTTGGAAACCTGCCATGCAGGCCATTTTTACCCAGTCTCTTTCTTATGGTGGAGTCGTGAACACTGACCTTAATTAAGGCAAGTGAGGCCTGCAGTTCTTTAGAAGTTGTCCTGGGGTCTTTGGTGACCTCTCGGATGAGTTGTCTCTTCGCTCTTGGGGTAATTTTGGTCGGCCGCCCACTCCTGGAAAGGTTCACCACTGTTCCATGTTGTTGCAATTTGTGGATAATGGCTCTCACTGTGGTTCGCTGGAGTCCCAAAGCTTTATAAATGGCTTTATAACCTTTACCAGACTGATGGATCTCAATGACTTTTGTTCTCATTTGTTCTTGAATTTCTTTGGATCTTGGCATGATGTCTAGCTTTTGAGGTGCTTTTGGTCTACTTCTCTGTGTCAGGCAGGGAGGGTGCTAGTTTAGAAGATGCTCTCTGAAGAGCAGGGTCTTCAGGAGTTTCTTGAAAACTGAAAAGGAAGACCCTGTTCTGGTATACATACATATATATATATATATATATATATATATATATATATATATATATATATATATATATATATATATATATATATATATATATATATATATATATATACATTATTATATATATATATATAATAATGTATATATATATATACATTATTATATATATATATATATATATATATATATATATATACATATACATATATGTATATATATATATATATACATATATGTATATATATATATATATATATATATATATATACATATATATATATGTATATATATATATATATATATATATATATATATATATATATATATATATATATATATATATATATATACATTATTATATATATATATATAATAATGTATATATATATATATACATTATTATATATATATATATATATATATACATATACATATATGTATATATATATATATATACATATATGTATATATATATATATATATATATATATATATATATATACATATATATATATATATGTATATATATATATATATATATATATATATATATATATATATATATATATATATATATATACATATATATATATATATATATGTATATATATATATATATACATATACATATATGTACATATACACACACATATGTACATGTGTATATGTGTATTTACATATACACACACACACACACATATATGTATATATATATATATATATATATATATATATATATATATATATACATATATGTATATATACACACACATGTGTACATGTGTATATGTGTATATACATATACATACACACACACACACACACACACACACACACACACACACACACACACACACACACATATGTATATATATATGTGTGTGTTTGTGTGTGTGTTTGTGTGTGTGTGTTCTGCAAAACTCCACAGCTGATCTAGGTGTTTGCACAGAAACTTGCTCAGACAGTTTGTCACTCATGTCCTCTGCCTCCTTAAAGATTGCCTGAAAGTGTTCAGTGTTTCTTTTTGATTTCAAACTGTTTTTGACCAGGGAAACTGCAGAGAGCATGCCTTCCATCGTCTGAGTGTTTTTCTGGAGAGATGCATTCAGCATTTTCTCAGCTGCTGAGGAAAAATGGACCATGGAAACAGATGTAAGTCATCTGTTATCTCTGTTCTGCTGATCAGATAAAAAGAAGTTCAGCCAACAGATCTGAGGTTTTCCGTCAGGCAACATTAAAACACATGAGTTATGTGTCCGACGTGTTTTACCAACACGCATCATGTTTTCATGATTACAGTTCACTCGGTAAAACTGGAGAATCGAGCCATAGTTGAAAGCAGTAACAGAGAACACATCGTGACTAAAACTCTCACATCACACTTGTTAAGATAAAAATTTAAAAAAAAATTATTTTATAAATTAATCAATCAAAAGTTGCCCTTTCAGGGGCAATCTTGATCCTTTTTTTGACCCAGAGTTCAGTCGGTCTGGTTCTGAAATAGCCTGCTATTTATAAGTTTCAGAGTTGTTTCTAAATTTATGAAAATATTGTGAATGCGTGTAATTGGGTTCAAAATATAAATTAAACTTTGCATGTTGTATTTTTTTTATCATCGGCATAATTTGTTTTATAATAATTCTATATAAAATTATATGCCTAAAGGACGCTTGACCTTTTTTGAATTTTATTTTTACATTTCCCCGAAAGCAAGTCTTTCAATAATAAAAGTAAAACTGAACCAGTTCGGCCATGGTGTGTTTGGTGTAAGTAGGTTCGATGGAAACCCCCAGTATTAGGGAATTCCCGCAATTTTTCAATCCCTCATGCAGAGGGAGGGGTGTTATTCTCTGATTCCTGCTTAATCAAATTTAAATCATTGCTCCTAAAGGTGACCTGGTTATTGATAGTGTATAAACATATGGAAATCATTTCTAGGCTTAAAACTGAATTAATAACTCAAACCAGAATGTTTTGTCTTCAACGAGTTTATTAAACTTCTCTTAAATCCTGCAGACCTGAACGCATCTCTCAAACCCGGAAACATGCCGTCACAAGCGGCACGTGACGTGACCTAGCTGCCTTAAAAACTCATGTTATTGGCTAACAGCGAGTTGTTATCGTTCAGGCTCGACTCATCCCGCGGTGGACCTGCTTGTGACAGCACACCGACGATACATCGAGTAGTGAACACCTTCATGTCCGAGTCGTGAGGCTGGTTGTCGGTAGAAGAGGAGAACTGTGTGCTCTTTTTCTCCGTAGCTCTACTTGCTAGCAGTCGCGACGTTTTGTTGGTAAATGGGAGACCCGTTCCTCTTTGTGTGTACTAAAAGAAGCGGTTCTGCTGTCTGTCGGGGGCTGCTGACCTGCTGAGACTTCCCCTAACACATAGCTATGGAGTCGCTCGGAGCTACGGGGTATGTGAACATCGGCAGCCTGACCAGCACCCTGCCCGTGATCCCCTACCAGAAGCTGACCGACCTGTACTACCTGAGCCGGGGAGGCTTTGGCACCGTCTTCAAGGCGCAGCACTCCGACTGGAGGACAACAGTAGCCATCAAATGCCTGAAGCTCGACTCTGTGGGAGAAAGGTACCCCTGCCCATTTAGAAAAGAAGTAGCTTTAAGCTGGTGGGCCGTATTTACTTGGTTATTGTTGTATCATAGTTGAATTGTGGACTAAAGTCAACTAAAACTCTTGGATGTAGAGCTCAACAGGTGCAGCTCAAGTGACCAAAGTTAATTTAAGGTTTTTAAAAGTGGAAATCAAAGTCACCTTTTTGTGCAGCTCTAACATGCAGATACCAGTTCTGACTCTGCTCTGGCAATAATGTGTTCACCGACTGGAGCAAAACAAGAACCTGCTGATCACATATCTATACCTTCACCTTATGTAGGCGCATGGACGTAATTTGGGGGGGGGGGGGGGGGGGACAAGGGGGACATGTCCCCCCCACTTTTTCCAAAGTCACGTTTTGACCCCTGCACATTTTACCATCCAAAAACAATATTACGCTATATTAAATAGACTCTGGTTGAGCTCCAGGACCAAGCGGAAAACAACCGTTTGTGTTGAAGCCTGTTTCCCATTAGATCATACTGTAAAGATCCCCCCCCCGTGCCCCCCCCCACTTCTAAAGTGAAAATTACGTCCTTATGTAGGCGCATCTGTACAAAACAGACTTGTTCCAGTCCTTTACTAATAATTTCCTCATATCTGTCAGCACTTCAGTGTTGTTATTGTTTGCTTTTGCTATTTTAAACAGAGATCTGTTTTACCCACAACAGGGAATCTGGAACTGTTTGTTTCTGTGTACAAGCCCCTCTTTAAAGTGGCCTTGAGTACCCACTCCAATGAATATCGTGTTTTTTCAGTTTTTAACATGTTCTTGAGGCATTTTCATATGCTACAGGACACATTTAAAGAAATTTGAGCTCAAATTTGTATTTCTGGGTTATAATTGCTGTTAATCAGTAACAGATGAAAAAATGCAGCCTAAAACGGACTGGTTTTGTGATGTCACAAAGCCACTGGGCGGAGCACAATCTCTCATCTGTTCTGCCCCCTCACCCTGGCTTTCCACTGGCCGTGAAAGTGGTCGTGTAACATAATAGCAGCTTTCTACCCACAAGCTCATTCCCAACCGGGAGCAATTCTGACGCAAAATGGGAGAGGTAGCGTTCCACACAGCTGATCTCGCGATGTCACCAAATCACGAGAGAATTGCAACACCACGTGTGACATCAGACATCCACACACAATAAAGCCGGGCGTACACGGTGCGACTTTTTCACTTTTTTGAGCCGATTTTCCACTCGTGCGAGAATCCACGAGATCGGGGAGAGTTTTGCGCTGAGCGTCGTGTAGTGCACAGGGGGTTACGAGAGGCGATTAACACCACGTGACCAGCTACCGATCAGCAAGCGTGAGCTCGCACGGACTTCTGGCGTGTTTGATATTTTGCTCGTCCCTCGTGAGGGTATCGCACTGTTGAAGCGGCGCTGTGAGCAGCTGCGACCCAAAAAGTACCAGAACCGCTCACGGCGCATGCTCAATCCTGCATCAACGCCGCTCGCCCGCTATTTCCCTAATAACACACGCTGTTCGTTTTTATTTCTACTAGGGCTGCACGATATTAGGAAAACCTGCGATATGCGATAACGGTGATTAATATTGCGATGACAGTATTACTTACAATAAATAAAAACTTAACTCAGGAACAAAAATAATCAAAAACAAAGAAATAAAAAATCATAAAATGAGAAAAGCAAAAGATGTGCGGAAAGGGAAAAAGAAAATTAACAAGAAAAGGCGATCAGTGGATCCCGGGAAAAGCAGAATCCGCAACAGAGCAGAACAAAGCTAACTCAGGTGTTTGCTAACCATTAAAATTAAGTGTCTTCCGCCTCGGGGGCGGGCATCTAACCTACGAAAACCCACGCGATTGGCCAAATGGGTGAAGAGCTCTGTTTGATTTGTTAAAAATAAATCACGCTTCCGTTTGATTGACAGAAGGCATTATGTGTAGCAAACATTTGAGCTGACCGTTCATTGCGATATTTATCTGTTCTTTGCGATATGCATATTGTGCATGCTGATATCGCGATAACGATATATTGTGCAACCCTAATTTCTACACGTTTTTTTACTCAAAGATTGTCAAGAAAGCGTGTTTGTCGTGTTCATGTCAAATTAAACTGATCACAAAACACAGATTTACTTTATTTCGTTTTCCTCATCCAACCCCCATAAATCCCTGTGTGTCCTCCTGCAGCACTCCCGAAGGACAACAGGCAAGACGAGACAAAAAAGTCTGACGTGTTGAGTAAAAACTGCTATTTTTAGCATATTTTTAGGGCCGACGTGTTGCTACCAGACGTACAGCGTGAGCAGTCAGGTTGCATCCGAGAACTGGGTCGTGCAGTGTGAGCGCATGACTCGTGAGATCTGCCCTGCGAGGAAGTCGTACAGTTTGAGCTGAAGCTGAGTGCTACGAGTGAAAAAGTCGCACAGTGTCCGCCCGGCTTAATAAGGGAGAAAGACTGCTGCATGCATCAAAAAGGCCTGTGGGTTATTTCCTGTTCTATTTACATCGGTTACAGAAGTACATATTAATGTTACAATTAGGGATGTTCCGTTACAATATCAATATCGGAAGTAATTCAATATCAGCCCAAAACAGTGTATCAGATTATTTGGGACGGCATCAAAAATCTCCGATATAAGCGGTGCGTTAAGGTTCACATTTTTGCATCCAACGGTTAAGAAAAACGTTGTCACTTTTTTCATACTTACTGTTATTGTCTCTTGTTCTCTGATTGAACTTTTCTGGATTACTTACAACCCCTTCTGTTTGTATAAAAGCAGCGTTGGAACATACTGTGGTACCATACTCTCGTGAGCATAATTTGAACAGTATTGTACTGCAGATAATGGTGTGTTGCTAAAAAAAAATGGTGAGAAAAAGGCAATTAACAATAGTAGAGAGACGGACCATCATAACATTTAAAAATGTAGGTCTTTCCTACAGAGAAATTGCAAAGAAAGTCAAGGTGTCAGTGAGTAGTTTCCTTCACCATCAAAAGGCACTCAGAAACCGGTGCAAACTCTGACAGGAAGAGGTCTGGCAGGTCCAAAGCCACATCTGCATCAGAGGACAAGTTTCTGAGAGTTAACAGCTTGTGTGATAGGCGGCTCACAGGACAACAGCTTCAAGCACAGCTTAATAGTGGTTGTAGTAAGCAAGTCTCGGTTTCTGCTGTGAAGAGAAGACTTCGAGCTGCAGGTTTGACAGGACGAGTTGCAGCAAGAAAGCCGCTATAAGACGTCAGAATAAGAGAAAGAGGCTTGCCTGGGCCATGAAACACCACCATTGGACTACTGAAGACTGGAAGAAGGTATTATGGACTGAGTGAAATCTTCCGTTCATCACACAGGATCTTTGTACGCCATCGAGTAGGTGAAAGGGTGGTTCCACATCAACTGTCAAACATGGTGGCGGAAGTGTGATGGTCCGGGGCTGTTTTGCTGGATCCAGGGTTGGTGACTTGTACAGAGTGAGAGGCACCCTGAACCAAAATGGCTACCACAGCATACTTCAGCGCCATGCAGTACCCTCTGGTATGCGCCTAGTTGGTCAGGGGTTCATCCTACAGCAAGATAATGACCCAAAACATAAGTCCAAGCTATGCCAGAACTACCTCAGGAAAAAAGAACAAGATGGTAAGCTTGAAAACATGGAGTGGCCAGCACAGACTCCAGACTTAAACCCCATGGAGCTGGTTTGGGATGAACTGGACACTGAAGAGTGAAAGCAAAGCAACCTACAAGTACCACACATTTATGGGACCTTCTGCAACAGATCTGGAAGAACTTTCTGAAGAATATTTGATGTCTGTTGTAGAAAGAATGCCTCGAGTGTGCTCAGCTGCTATATCTGCCAAAGGAGGCTACTTTGATGAGTCAAAAGTTTAGAACACATTTTGGTCTATAAATTAATGCCATGATTTCTTTTTAAACTCTAATTGCTTATATGCACTGTGCTTTCATTTCAGAGTGCAATGTGACATTAAACTGCATAATTTCCATTAAAAAAATGAAAAAATGGGGACGTTCTAAAACTTTCCACCATTGTAATTGTTTACATGTCTGAGTCGCCTACAGAATGACTGCGTAACACAAGGACTGCCTTGTTAAAAATAACTCCACCCAGAAGTGTCTTTTCTCCGTTGCAATGGAAGCACGACCCTCACGTGTAGTGTAGACTAGATTAAACTAAATTAGAGTGGTGTCGCGCAAAGCAGGTACTAGTGGAATTTAAGTTTGTCACGGTGTGAAAATTTAACCTCACGGTTATTGTGACCAAAATTATCACTGTTTTCGGTATTATCGCGGTATTTTTTTTAAACATGTTATATTTTCAGACAACTAAATAAACCCTGTATGTCAGGAAATATTGTCCTCAGTTTGTGACTAAATTTTTCCTAAAATGTGTTGTTTTGTAATTATGTTTATTTGTTTACATTTTTTCCCTTTAGTCTTTAAAATACCAATATTTGCCCATAACTTCTTATTTTATGTCTGTTTGATGTCATCATTTTAAAAATATTAGTTCAGATGATACTCAGTACTCAAGTAGCCTTCTAATCAGATACTTTTTTACCCTTACTTGAGTAATAAACCCTACATCAGGAAAATATTGTCCTCGGTTTGTGTCCTTCCAGTGAGCTTTGCAGATGTGGGAAAATGTCATCAGGCAGTAATCGTTGTTAAATTCATAATTATTCTCGGAGAGAGACCAACTCTTATCTGCCCCTGGGAGCCCCGTAATGCATAGCGTCATTTCAACATGGCGGTGTCCGCGACACGGTTTATATGCAGGTAGCGGCGCTGCGGCTGCTTTATATAGCGACTCGTTGCATTCTCCCTCAACCCAAATCCTCGGATCACGCATTTTAGCTAAAGCGCTAACGTTAGCTTGCCTTGCGTTGACTGTAGAGTTGTGGGTGATGGTCACGCAGATGTGTCATGAGATTTGAAGCGTTGCTGCCTTTCACAGACACTTTTTCTGCACGTGCTGCAAACAGGATAGCCGTCTTCTATCAACTGTCCCTCGGCATTCTTCACATATCCAAAAAAATGCCCGTACTTCCCACTTTGTCTTCTTTGAGGGATAATAAATGTCCTGAGCGCTGCCGTCTCCTCCTCTGGCCATTATTTCAGCTTTAGCTTCAAGAAAGTTTTGGTTGTAAACAACAACGTGTTCATGTGCCGCCGGCAACTTCAGCAGATGATACGGTGGCTGGTAAGGGTCACCGCGCCTACACCGCAGCCACGGTAATCCACCGAGATAATATGTTTTTTTTTAATTAAGACGGTTATTATTATTGTCAACTTTTTTTACCGGGGTTTACCGCTACACCGGTTACCGTGACAACCCTAGTGGAATTAAGGCTATGGATTGTCCATAATGGAACACCATGTTCAGACATAAAGGTGTCCATATGTGCTCTTGGCACCAGGATACTGTACGCTGCAGCTCAAGAATTAACTTTCTCATCGTTTAGTCTGATCTGCGGCTGCATGTCTTGGACACTCGGGTAAAGAGAGGGGTGGAGCTGTCAACTGACCACTACCTGGTGGTAAGACTCGGATAGTAGGGGAGTATGCTTGTCAGACCTGGTAGGCCCAAAATGTATTGTGAGGATCTGCTGGGTATGTCTGGCAGAGTCTCCTGTCAGAAGGAGCTTCGATTCCCACCTCCAACTGAACTTACAAAATGTTCCAGGGGAGGCGGGGGACATTGAGTCCGAATGGGCCCTGTTCCGTGCCTCCATTGTTGAGGCAGCCGTCCAGAGCTGTGGCCGCAGGGTTGTCGGTGCCTGTTGTTGCCACAACCTCCAAACTCACTGGTGGACACCGACGGTTAGGGATGCTTTCAAGCTGAAGAAAGAATCCTATCAGGTCTTTTTGGCCTGTGGGACACCAGAGGCAACTGATAGGTACCTGCAGTCCAAGCGAAATGCAGCTTGGGTAGTCGCAGAGGCAAAAACTCTGGCATGGGAAGAGTTTGGTGAGACCATGGAGCAAGATTTTTGCATGGCTTCGAGGAGATTCTGGTCCACCATTCGCTGCCTCAGGAAATGGAAAGGCATTGCGCTACCAACACTATTTATAGTGGGACGGTGTGCTGCTGACCTCTACTCGGGACGTTGTGGATTGGTGGGCGGAGTACTTTGAAGATCTCCTCATTCCCACCGGCACGTCTTCCAGTGAGGAAGCAGAGTGTGGGGACTTTTTGAGTTGGGCTCTCCAATTTCTGGTGCTGAGGTCATTGAGGTTGTCCAAAAACCTCCTAGGTGGCAAGGCTCTGGGGGTGGATGAGATCCACCTGGAGTTCCTTCAGGCTCTGCATATTGTAGAGCTGTGTTGGCTGACACGGGTGTGCAATATCGTGTGGACATAGGGGGCAGTTCCACTGGATTGACAGACTGGGGTGGTGGTCCCTCTATTTAAAAACGGGGACCGCAGGGTGTGTTCCAACTCAATCCCAGTGACATTTGGACTCTGTCAAGGCTGAAATTTTGTAATCCTCACTCAAAGCATGGCTGACAGTTTTAATGGTCCTAGGGGGTGCTATTTTAGAAAATAGGCCACGCCTGCTAGATTTTTTACATCGTTTTATTGGGGGTCAAACTAGGATAATTCACCAGAAATGTTGTGGTGATATCTTTAGAAATGATGAAATGGGAGGCAAATGTATGGCCACAGCATTGCCTGAATTTGCTGCACCGCCACAGCCCCGCCCTCTTTCGAACACTCCTATAAAGGGATGCCAAGCAACCCCAACATTTCTTCAGTTATCATCTAAAAATTTGTAGTGATTAAGTGAAATGAGGTGATTTTCTTTCACAGTAGAACTTGACCTTTTCTTTTCTGAGAGGGTGGGGCTCAAGTGACACCATCATTGTACCATTTATTTTTCTTTGGGGGCGGATGAGAAATAAGCATAGAAAACTTGGTTACTCAATTCCTTTCTGTTGTGAAGTTATAACCATTTATATATATTTTTTGGCGAGTAGTCAAACTTTGAGGCCGGACCACGCCCCTTCAACATATACAAAAACTCAGTTTCTTAGTTTCGTTTCAATCTCTCATCCCTTCTGAGCAACCTCACAAAATGTTCAAGACGATCATGTGAAAAATGACCAAGTAGTTAAATCAATTACAGACCCTACAACCAAATCCTCGGTCAAAATCGCTGTTTCAATCCAAAATGGCTGACCTTCTGTTTGATGTTGACAATTGGTGCAAGAGACTTTTCTGTGTAAACTGGTGAGTACTAAAAGTGTGCCAATTTTCATAACTGTTGTAGTGATCTGTAGTTTGTATATTTATACACTGTATTTAGATCTAAATATTATAATCAGAAGTGGTTGTTTTTATCATCAGGGAGTTTACTTAAACACTCTGTATTGACTGAGAGACACGAAAAGAGAGAGTTGGGATCGTTTAAGAATCTTTAATTTCTATAATTATAAATTCTTACAATCTACCAGGACTATCTCAATGATGAATTCATATGGATTTGAATGTTATAGTGTTGGTGTGTGTGTGTGTGTGTGTGTTTTGTTCAGAAAACCCTAGGCTGACGTAGCGAATCTGGTTGTTATGACTAGGCTACCACGAGGCTTCAGAAGCTGATGACATGAGCCGCCATTTTGTGCCGTGACTACGTACCCATGGAGTCTCCCGTGTTAGATCAGGAAATGCCAGGTCCTCGGACCTTCAGATGTACTGGAGCTGGTAGAACAGCGGTCACAGCACTACAAAGCCCGTCTGCGGATCGACTCCCAGTAGTATCGGCAGGCGTCAGCGAGTTCAGCTCTTATTTTGAAGGGACGTCGTCTTGTTGTTCAAATGACAGAAATCTCCAGCTTGACAGTTCTCAGTTTAAAGTAGGAAAGTGCATCTGGCCAGTCTGCAACTTTCTTAATGATGACGATGGAATCCTTAGGACCTCCAACTGAACAGAACTGAGGTTAAAATGGAACTGAGTATAAAATGGCGTTGCCTTGTTTTATATCTCCTAGTTGTTTACAAATCTTAATAAACCGGATTGGACAACTTCATTAAACAACGCAGATTCTCTCTACGACAGACGGAAGTTCTGATTGGTTGAAAACAATGTGTCATGCTTTTCCATGTCAATGCAGATCAGTCTGTCTGGTGCAGTCCTGTTTATTCATTAAACACATAACTCATGACATCTTTATTTCACAGATCATTCACCTGATTATTAATGATCAACATATGCTCTGATTAGCTTTATCACGAATAAAGTACTTTGATTAATTAATGGAAAGCATTCTTCTTCTCTTCTTCTGTCTCTTCTCCTGGAATGTAAACATACTGAAACCAGCATCCGACCTTGGCGATTTCAACACGTTGTTACTGTGTGAAGGGGCAGCTGTTAAGGGCAGACAATAGGATCTTAATAACGCTACACTGTTCTATTTATTAAAAAAAAGTCAATGGGGAGGCTGATTTTTCACATTCTAGAGGGCGCTGTTGAGCCAATTTAATTGGGATTTTTTTTAGGACCTTTAAAATAAAAAAATAAATTACATCACAAATGTGTATGACATGTCTGCAAACAACTGTGGGCTTTTGAATATGTTAAGGCCTTCAAAAAGGCAATTCATTTGCGGGAAGAACTATGAACAAAGCAGATACAATCGGCCTTTGCAGCTTTGCTGCTCGGGCCTAAAAGAAAAGCATACAAACATTACATTGTCCAGTAATGGCCCTGCCTGAATGGCAGGTCCCTTAAAAATATTACATTTGAGGGTGCTTTTCTAAAATCCCAAGGTCACATTACAGAGAGAACAGGAACATTCAAACAGACATTAATACAACAGTTAAGAGCAAAGCAGTGCATACGAGCTAAAATCGGTTAAAATGTCTTAAATGGAGTAAAAAGAGTCGGTATTCCTAATCATTGTAGGAAGTGAGTTGCATAACTGATGGGCAGTGCGGCAGGATGTTTTTGGAACTTTTATTCCTATTTAAACCAAATGACTTGCTTTGTTGCAGAGAGAGGAACTGCCTGCTGAAGGAAGCCGAGGTGCTTCACAAAGCCAGGTTCAACCACATCATCCAGATCTTTGGGATCTGCAACGAGCCAGAGTTTTTCTGTATAGTCACAGAGTTCATGAGCAACGGCTCCCTGGACCTGCTTCTCCATGAGGTATGAACACGTCAGCCAACCTATATGGTAGAATTCAAGTCATGAGCTCATCTTGGTTACCGTAGCAGGGCAGCAGCAGCTCAGGAGGTAGAGTGGGTCGCCCAGTAATCAGAAGGTTGTAGGTTCGATCCTGGCTTCCGCAATACGCACCTTCCGCTCTAACCCCAAGCTAGTTACCTCTGGAGTTCCTCAGGGCTCAGTCTTAGGTCCTACTCTCTTCATAATCTACTTACTCCCACTTGGCAATAGCTTTAGGAAATGTAATATTCATTTTCACTGCTACGCCGATGACACCCAGCTCTACTTCTCTACACAACCCCCCGCTCCTTTCATCCTCCCTTCTCAGCTGCCTCACCGAAGTCAAATCCTGGTTTTCTTCTAACTTTCTACAGCTCAACAGCAATAAGACTGAGATCCTCCTCACTGGCACCAAGTCCTCTCTGTCTAAGACCAGTTCATTCTCACTCAGCTTCGACAACACCACACTTCTCCCCACCGCCAAAGCTAAGAGCTTGGGTGTCATCTTAGACAACACCATATCATTCATTCCTCATATTAACAACACAATAAAAACTGCTTATTTTCGTCTCTGCAGTATCAATCGGCTCCGCCCCTCCCTCAGTCAGCACTCCACTGCTATTTTGGTCCACAGCCTGGTCACCAGTCGCATCGATTACTGTAATGCCCTCCTCTCCGGTCTCCCTCTAAAATCACTCAACAAGCTACAGTTGGTCCAAAATTCAGCTGCCCGGATAATCACCAAGACCTCCACTTTTGATCACATCACCCCTGTCCTGCAACAACTTCACTGGCTCCCTGTCAAACACAGAATTGACTATAAGATACTTCTTCATGCCTTTAAAGCCATCCATAATCTCGCTCCCCCATATCTTTCTAATCTCCTCCACATTGTCACTCCCACTCGCTCTCTCCGATCATCATCTTCACCTTCCCTGTCTGTTCCTCGCACTCGTCTCAGTACTATGGGAGCCAGAGCTTTCAGCCGCTCGGCTCCAAAACTCTGGAACGCTACCGCCTGACCTCCGCAGTATAAACTCCTTCTCAACCTTCAAGTCTCAAGTCAAAACTCACATGTTCCGCCTGGCTAACTGACTGTAACTGTCCTCCTTCCATCTACTCTTCTTAGTCTGTTATCCATTGTACTGCTCCGACTCTACCCTTGGGAATTACTCTTAGCAGTTATTTCTTGTTGTTTGTATTGCTTGCTGTTCCTTATATTTTGTCTTGTACGGTGACCTTGAGAGCTTTGAAAGGCACTTGAAATAAAATGTATTATTATTGAGACAAGTCTTGGTTCAAGACACTCAACTCCCTCTGCATGCTGGTGGAGGTCATGGCGCCCCAGGGCAGCTGTGGATAATGGAGCTCTTTGCTCTCCGAGTGAATGTGTTATGATTCTGAGGTGAAGCTTTTTGAAGGTTGTAGAATTCTAAGGAGGCGCTATACAAACACAGGCCACTGCCATTTATCGCCATTACTATTTATGCTGCGTTACCTGTAACTCTTTTGTGCATCATTCATCATGAACCAAGATATTTCTTCACATCTTTCCTGTAAGTAAGAGGGAAAGTGAAAGTAAAAGCTTGAAACAAGCGTCCTCTAGTGAAACAGACTGGGGGAATTCCTGTTTCTGTTTGGGGAGTCGATCCTTTTTTAAACTTGTATAAACTCCTATTATTTCTCTCTTTTCTCTCCTGACATTTGTCCACCTGCAGAAGGACATGTATCCTGTCCTCGGCTGGCCTTTACGTCTGAAGATTCTGTATGAGATCGCCCTGGGAGTGAACTTCCTTCACAACATGACCCCGCCCCTCTTACATCACGACCTGAAGACACAGAACATCCTGTTGGACGGGGAGTTTCATGTCAAGGTCTGTGCTTGAGAGAAGTGAGCATTTAGTCCCACAGTGGGTTCCTTTCTGTGACGTAGGGGTGAGCATGGAGGGTGTTGTGCGTTAATCATTCAAATATCATGATCCCCCTCTCCTGGTCCTCAAATTGTTACGCCCCACACACGTTTTCCAGTCGGGCTGGGCTGTTGGTTCGACTACTCCCAGAGCTGAGCAGCAGGAGGACAGAATGACAGAGGTGTGCTGCTGAAGCAGTACGTAGCTGCAGCTCGTCACCTGACCAGAGTTTAACAGCACTTGTCCCAGGCGGTGGACGTAGAAAATGCTGGGGAAAAAAAATCAAAGCTTTTGCTGCATTTCACTAAAGTTAAAGGACGCCGAGCTAAATGATGTCTCTAAAGATGGAAATGCCAGCGGTTTAATGAAGCACCTCGTTATTCATGGCATCAGTCTGCAGCAGAAGCATGGGCCGTTTTAATATTTAATCAACAACACACCTTTTTGTAGCCTAATTCCTGTTAGATGGCAACAATTCAGTTGATCCTAGTCCAAATATTATCCTTACTAGTTATCACTGAAATTAAAGGAGCCAACAGCTATTTTGTTACTAATTTAATAATTTTTTTATATTAACAACTGCAGGAGTAGGATTTAAGTTTAAGAAATCTCAAATCCTTGAAAACCTAATCGATAGTTGTTTTATCTTTTATTAGGCAGACTGGATAGTTAGTGTGGGTTCTGAAAAAGCACGGATGGTTGTGAGACTAATGATATCTAAACTCCACAAGCAGAAGAAACGTTCCCATAAGTTTATTCTTAGCTGTCTGCTGCGGAGCTGAACCACTGCAGTCAGGTTGCTGGTTCGAGTCTGCTCTGCCCAACACCGCTGTAGGATTACGGCAAGCCACTGTAGCATGTAATTCACAAACGCATCTGTCAACATAATTTAAACTGGATAATTGCTAACCCGTACTTAATAGATACATCACCATTACATTTTTAGCAGCAGAAATTAGGGATGTAAGAAAATGTTGATTATGGCAATATATCGTGATATTTTCCCCAGCGATATTATATCGATATTCAAAAGCTGTGTATCGAAAATATCGATATCGCAATATATCATGATATTTTTGTCTTGCAAAAATGTATTGATATTCAAAAGTCGTGTATCTAATTTTTGGAAGAATTTACATGGAAACATTTGTGTATTTTCTTTTCTTGTGGTGCAATTCAAACGCCGACCACTAGTTGGCAGCAGTGTGCAATGGGTTTTGTTTCTACCATTGAAATGCAAATCCCTCTGTTACGGTTAAACATGTTAAGTATCAGTTTGGACTGTTTATTGAATTTTTCTATAATACATTTAGTCAAAAAGATCGCCAAAATCGTCTGACTGAATGTATCGCAATATATCGTGATATATTGTATCGTCTCCCCTGTATCGTAATACATATTGTATCACCAGAATTTCACCAATACACATCCCTAGTAGAAATAAAATGTTAGCATTTCCAGTAGCTGCTACTGAACATGCTAATGAAATACACCACATTTTACTGATCATAGTTTAATTATGGATACATTTAAGTGATAGCATGTTGTTTTACACGCTATTGAACAGCTTTCTGATCATGTTCTGTTGTTAAATAAAGTAAAGGAATGAGAGAAAAGATGTTTCCCTAGCAGTTTTAAAATGTTCCCATTTGAAACCCTATCCGATTCATCGATGATGCAAATAATGGTTTGTTGCCGCCCTAACTGTGACTGACTCCTATTCCACATGCAGTTTTAACTCCCATGTGCTTGATCCAAGTCATAGCAACGGTAACAGGGTATCTGCAGGTCCTTAAAAAGTCTTACATTTGCTTTTCCAAATTTAAGGCCTTAAAAATCCTTAAAAATGACAAATAATCCTTAAATAGTTTCCAAAGGTCTTAAATTACCAAAGACCCAATAAACAAGATTCTATTATTTCTATAAAATTTTCGTGAATTTCTAGTTAGTCTTCAGCATTTTTTGTGTATGATGTTGGCGTTAGCGGAACCGTACACATTCGGTGAAAGGGGGCTATTTTTGGATGAGCATGTTAGTGGGAGTTTGCGCCATGGGGAAGTGCAACATTAATGGTAAATGGATGGCTAATCCCACGTTCACGACGTGGTTAGCACCGGTTCCAGGCAATAGCTGGAAATTATAGCTTAAATTTAATTTAAAAAAATAGCTTAAATTTGGTCCAAGTGGCCTTGAAAAAGGTCTTAAAAAGTCTTAAATTAGGCTCCGATAAACCTGCAGATAAGTTTGATAAGTTGAATCATCTTGAATCCGGTCAACTCCAGTTAATAACGAGCGGATGACTGTTCACCCAGAGACTTCCCTTCAAACCTGTTTTGAGAGATAACAACCAAATGTGCCGCTGACACAGTAAGACTAGCACAGATGGGCAAAACCATTATCGTCTGTCATTACATCATAATTACACCATATCCTCTATCCGTTCCTGTCTTTCCACCAACCGGCTGCTAAACCTCTCTCCAGATTGCAGATTTTGGTCTCTCCAAGTGGCGGCAGCTGTCGGTCAGTAAAGGTTCTGGGTCCAAGCCCACTGAGATGGAGGGCACGGTGATCTACATTCCCCCTGAGGAGTACGAACCCTCCAAGAACCGCCGGGCCGACGTTAAACACGATATGTACAGGTGAGAGGTCAGAGTGGGCATTAGCTGGGTTTGTTATGTTTGGGTTCATGACTTTGTTCTGAATATTATCAGCGGGGAGGTGAAAGGCAGATTTTTGACCTGTCACGGTGAGCTGGAGACGAGGCATCCAGTCAGATTTCTACCTTCAAACCAGAACGCTGCAGGAGGCGGGTTACATTCTGTTCATTCCAGATGAGTTGCATCATTCAAATAAAATGCAAGAGGGGAAGTGATGATGATTATTACATAAATCCACTCCTCTTTGTGGCTGTTAGTCCCTCCTTTTTATAGTTTCTAGCTTTTGGCCCAGAGGGACTGACTGTTGCAAAAGATCTGTCTATCCTCATATTTCCCCTAAGTAGTTTTTCTGCTCATGTGTGAATGCCCCTCTCTCTGGGGGGAGTACCGCCTGAAAATGGTGACATAACAGTGTTTCCCCTAGGAATTTTTCCAGCTGTGGTGGTGGTGGAGGGGGGATTATGACACGTCTCACCTTTATGTTAATATCGTTTTATTTGATGCACTCCACTTTGATCAGCACCGATCCAGCAACTGCTGCATTTTAATAACTAGTATTAAAGGTGAGTACACCAATATTTGCACAAGAATAAATTTTGTTTTAAACTCTCAGTGACACACTGCAGGGGGGGTTGGCATAAAATTTTTCTTGGCGTCTGGAAAAACATCTCCTTCTGCCCCCCTTTATTTGACTTTCTGCCCCTTTTATTTTGGTCCAAGATCATTACTGGGCTGGTCCTATTAAACACATTCTACACCCCTGCTTAGTAGACTTAATGAAGTATTTTTAAGCCAGTGTAAAAATGACTGAAACACAAATTTACATATTTGGCATTATTGACCAATATCTTTGATTTAATTTATCTGTTTAGAACATTAAGATGCCGTCGTCGTCGTCTTCCTCCACTTATCCGGGTCCGGGTCGCGGGGGCAGCATCCCAACTAGCGAGCTCCAGACCGTCCTCTCCCCGGCCACCTCCACCAGCTCCTCCGGCAGGACCCCAAGGCGTTCCCGGACCAGATTGGAGATGTAACCTCTCCAACGTGTCCTGGGTCGACCCGGGGGCCTCCTGCTGGCAGGACATGCCCAAAACACCTCCCCAGGGAGGCGTCCAGGAGGCATCCTGACCAGATGCCCAAACCACCTCAACTGGCTCCTTTCGATCCGGAGGAGCAGCGGTTCTACTCCGAGTCCCTCCCGAATGTCCGAGCTCCTCACCCTATCTCTAAGGCTGAGCCCGGCCACCCTACGGAGGAAACACATTTCGGCCGCTTGTATCCGCGATCTCGTTCTTTCGGTCATTACCCAAAGCTCATGACCATAGGTGAGGATTGGGACGTAGATCGACCGGTAAATCGAGAGCCTGGCTTTCTGGCTCAGCTCCCTCTTCACCACGACAGATCGGCTCAGCGTCCGCATCACTGCAGACGCCGAACCAATCCGCCTGTCGATCTCCCGATCCTTCCTACCCTCACTCGTGAACAAGACCCCGAGATACTTAAACTCCTCCACTTGAGGTAGGACCTCTCCCCCGACCCGGAGTTGGCGAGCCACCCTTTTCCGGTCGAGAACCATGGTCTCAGATTTGGAGGTTCTGATCCTCATCCCAGCCGCTTCACACTCGGCCGCAAACCTACCCAGCAAGAGCTGAAGGTCAGAGCTGGATGAAGCTAGGAGGACCACATCATCCGCAAAAAGCAGAGACGAGATTCTCCTGCCACTAAACTCGACACACTCCACACCACGGCTGCGCCTAGAAATTCTGTCCATAAAGGTAATGAACAGAACCGGTGACAAAGGGCAGCCCTGGCGGAGTCCAACCCTCACCGGGAACAGGTCCGACTTACTACCGGCTATGTGGACCAAACTCACGCTCCTCTGGAAAAGGGACTGAATGGCCCTCAACAGAAAGCCACTCACCCCATACTCCTGGAGCGTCCCCCACAGGGTGCCCCTGGGGACACGGTCATAAGCCTTCTCCAAATCCACAAAGCACATGTGGATTGGTTGGGCAAACTCCCATGCCCCCTCCCATCACCCTTGCAAGGGTATAGAGCTGGTCCACAGTTCCACGGCCAGGACAAAAACCACATTGCTCCTCCTCTATCTGAGATTCAACTATCGATCGACCCTCCTCTCCAGTACCTTGGAGTAGACCTTTCCAGGGAGGCTGAGGAGTGAGATCCCCCTATAGTTGGAACACACCCTCAGGTCACCCTTCTTAAAGATGGGGACCACCACCCCGGTCTGCCACTCCACAGGAACTGCCCCTGATGACCACGCAATGTTGTAGAGACGTGTCAACCATGACAGCCCTACAACATCCATAGCCTTGAGATACCCAGGACGAACCTCATCCGCCCCCGGGGCTCCACCGCTGTGTAGTTGTTTGACTACCTCAGCAACTTCAGCCCCCGAGATTGGACAGTCCATCCCCAGGTCTCCCGGCTCTGGTTCCTCCTCGGAATGCGCATAGGTGGGATTGAGGAGGTCCTCAAAGTATTCCTTCCACCGTCCGACTATAGTCCCAGTTGACGTCAGCAGCTCCCCATCCCCACTGTAAACAGTGTGAGCGAGTTGCTGCCTTCCTCTCCTGAGGCGCCGGACAGTTTGCCAGAACCTCTTTGGAGCCGATCGATAGTCTTTCTCCATGGACTCACCAAACTCCTCCCACGCCCAAGATTTAGCCTCGACAACTGCCACTGCTGCACCCCGCTTGGCTATCCGGTACCTGTCTGCTGCCTCCGGAGACCCACAGACCAGCCACGCCCTGTAGGCCTCCTTCTTCAGCCTGATGGCTCCCCGAACCTCTGGTGTCCACCAGCGGGTACGGGGGTTGCCACCACGACTGGCACCGGCCACCTTGCGACCACAGCTAGCAACAGCCGCCTCAACAATCGCAGAGTGGAACAAGGCCCACTCTGACTCAATGTCCCCCACTGCTCTCGGGA